TCATCCTGATACCAGTACTCTGACTAATGCAGGGTTTCTTTATGAAGCCAGGTGGCAGCATAATTCAGTGGCTGAGCGCAGGATTTACAGGAGCAAAGTGACCAGCTAGCCCCACTAAGTCATTCCTAACTTAAGATGCGTGTTACTCTATGGACATACTCTCATAGATAATTTGGATTGAGGCCAACTTTGACTGTACCTTAACCTTTCCACTTTACAAGAACTCGATAAATTTCCACAACAGCACAGCCACTGACCAATAAATGCTGCTCATGTGAACATAGCCTAATGCCCATTGCTAAAGAACAGATTATGGAAGACAAAAATAATTTAATGCATAGATCTGTGCACTTTGATACATGCATTGCAGGTTGCTCTTAATTTTGTAGATTTCATATATCCAATAATGGTTCAAATGCTTTTTATGACTATTTCATTACTTTCTTCTCTATCACCCTGCAGTCCCAATATAAATAATTACACATCTATTTCTCTTTTGCCAATTATGGAATAATAAATCTATCAGCCACAAGGAATGGAACTTGGGTGAAACAAAGCAGTGTCGTTGCAAATGGTTAAGCATTCTAGCAAACTTCCAGGCCCTATATTCTAGAAAGGCCATTTACCTGTATTCATACTTTCTTAGGGCATTTTCTGTATGTGCCATAAAAGTTGATCCCGTATTAAAGTTTAATCTAAATCTCTAGTGCGCATGTGCAATGGCAGCACCTGGGATCAACTTTTAATACACCTCTGAACCACCATTAACTCTTAAGCTCAAAATTTAATCCTGCACAAGCGCAGAAAAAGCTAGTTAATCCCATCAATCATGTATTGATACATAATGATGCCATCAAATCCACAGAAAAGAGAGAGTTGAGTTGCTATTAATGTTTATCATAGACAATAATGTAACAAATTCTGACTTTTCATGGTAAAAATGTGTATGAAAATTCATCAGCATATATTTTTTAAGTTGTGGGATACTCAGACTGCAGGAATAACTCTCAACAATGAAAGGAAAAACAAAGAAAATTCCACAGAGAATTCTAGAGTTTTACAGATACAGGAAAGGCAATGTTATATCCAGGTTAGAAAAACACTCCCAACTTATGTAATATTTCAACAGAATGAAAAAGAAAGCTTTTAACATCACAATTACATTTTAAATTCAAAGTATAAACTTCTTGAATCTTTAAACTACAATGACTTCAAAACCACATGGAAATTTGTAATCATATTCCTGGATAGCAACATCCTAAAAAAAATACTATTCTACCCCATGCCCAGCAATCACTCACAGTGAAAATAAACTGATGTTGCGAGTATCTTTTGTTGGACATCTTTAGTTTATTTGCCTTTAAAATTCAATGGGTATTTGAAGCTATTTATGTATATTTATTTGTAGTGACACAAATACACATCTTCATGATATAATACTGCCGTATATGTGTATACATACTTTTCCTCTGTAGCAAACCTTTTGTTATCAACATTAGTGTGTGATATGAAACTCGAAGAGGGTGACTGCTAATTTCCACTATACAAATACCTGCTCTTCCATGTAAAAGAGCAGATTTACTGATAATCGCATTGACTCTCGCATCTGGTAATGTCTTACATCTTCTGTGCAAACACTGTGGATTTGAATTAAATGGATTTAAATTTACTACTCCAACCAACAACCTTTGGGGTACTAATGGAAATCCACAAAAATCACTGTATGAACCAAAAACATAATTTGTGTGGAGACTTCACCCACAGACCCTATCCCTATCTCCGTATGTCCCTACCCAGGGTCTGCACCCAAACCATCACCCAATTACCTAATTTTTTGTGACTTATTTCCTTCATTTTCATCATTACTATTTGTCTGCATAGATCATTTCATGTGTGAATGTAATTTTTATCTTTCCATTAGACAATGTCCTTAGATTTACCCTTGGTGCACTCATATGTAAATATATATCAAATACTTTGGGGGCCCAAATACATCAAAAACATAGGTAATTATTTACAATACCGATGCTCTCACCAGAGACTAAGGCTCTAACACTATGTCACAAAATTAATTCGACAATCTAAGTTGCTGTGACTAAGTGTTCCACGAGGGAAGGGTTAAAGAGGTGCTTAGGCTGAGCAGTGATGTCGACAATCTTTTTCGTTTATTTGTGGCATTATCATTTGTGTCTGCTGATTATTCATGACATCATCGTTTGTGTTTGCAGATTATTACAGTACCGATGCCCTTGCCAAAAACTAAGTCCCCAACTTCACATTAAAAAATTTATTCATCAATCTGAGTTGCCATGACCAGCTGTGCCCTTTGGGTACTGCCCGAGGGTAAGGTTGATGGGCAGCTCTGCCACCAACATACCCCAAGAAAGATTGTCTTCACCTGCAGATGCAATCACAACTATTATTGTACACAAAGTCATGCACTTACCAGAATCTTAAAAAGTTCCCCTTGTGCATATAAACCAAAGATATATACTGTATGTATGTGCTTTGACAAGACAAATTTCTCAATTTCTTTATATAGGTGTCAAGTGGTGAGACAATGCAGCTGAATCCATATTAGTTTCTCCCTTCCAATAGCCTGAACAAATAGAAATAAGGAAGTACATGTATATTCTATAAGCCAGCAATTAGACAAGGTTCTCTGAATACCCCATTTACAAATGAGGAATTTATAGAGGGAAAAATCTAATTCCTGCTGACAATCATACACTGGAAAAATCAGGGAATAAAACACTGCAAGGAAATGGAAACGACATTCTTTGACGATCTTCAAAGTTCTTTATGATGCAAGGAATTTGCCATTTTGCTTATGCACTGTGATTTCTGTAAGGCCATGAGAATCAAAGTTCCTGTTTTGCGTCCACTGCTCTTGAGTCCCGACAATGCCCACCAAAAAATTTCATTATCTTCAATATATTTATTATTTCCCCAAAATATGATTTGATGACTTTGAAAAGCTGTTCTCTTGTCATGCATTTAAGAAAGAATACTTTTACTAGTAAAAATGAATGAATAATCTCATGATTACCCACAAGAACTAAGACGATTTGAAGGATCTGTAAAGCTGTTGTTCTCTTCTTTAAATGCTTTTATAAATAATGAATAATGAAAAATAGCCACATCACTTTTCATTTTTGCCCATACTTGAAACAGGAAACTTCATCTTTGTGGCTTAATGAACAATGCTAATTGCTACCAAGTGATGCAGCCTCCATCAATAAATTTTCAAAACCAAGGTACTGTACAAAATCCCAAACCTTTCCTACTTTCTATTCATTCCTGAGACTGAGGCTCAAGCCCCTCTGTAACCCCCCTTTTATTAGCACTTCGTGCCAACATATAGAAAATGGACAAAAACGCTCTGGCTGTGTAATGGTGTTGTGGACGTCTCTGACTGGTGATATGCAGCGAATATTTCCATCATTTCACAGTAAAAATGAGGCTGCTGCAACTGTACCTATGTTGTTTTATATTTTACTTCTCATGCTCTACAAGATGGAAGTGTCATTTCTCCCAATGTCTGTGGATTGTCATTTCTCCCAATGTCTGTTGGAAATTAATACATGAATAACTGCAATATAACATTTGTTACTGATTTTTCTGCTGTATATTGACTTTTACCACAGTGGGGCCTGACCTACATACTTGAACTTACACACAAACACCAGAAACGTTGTATTAAATGAAAAGATCTTTGATTGTTAGCTATATCTCTTAAAAATGATTAAAATCAACTAACCAACCATAGACAACTTTCAAAAAATAGCATTTCAATGTTTTTTTTCATCTTTCCCCTTTAAATCTATTACCAAAAAAGGACAAACAAGCAAAACCGAGATGCATAACCCTTTGACTCTCCTTCACTCCTCAGGAGATGCAAAGCAATCATAATAAGTCACACCCCACGTGGTACATGATAAATAAATTTGCCAAAACATTTTTAAAAGTTTCCAATGAGAAACACCTTGCGATACACGTCCTTCCACGGCGGCGTTTTCCCTCTGGCGTTCTTATATATCTTCTTGTGGAGGAGCCTCTTCTCCAGGGGGCTCCTTGGGTCCTGCTCCATGGCTGCCAGTCCTCAGTACAGGCGCTCACTGAGAAAGATAAATGTTAGGATGGAGGTTCTTGCTGTCACTCCTGCCCTCAGCTGACTGCCTCCTTCCCGCCAGCGAGGTTTGTCCCACTCCCTGTGTTGCTCGCGACGGGCTGTTACCTGTGTCGTTTATCCCCACTCCCTGTGGTGGGAAAATGGGCTGATTATATTCAATTCGAAATGCTGTCGATCGGGTTCAATTAGTGGATTTATCTCTCTCTCTCTCTCTCTCTCTCTCTCTGGTGTC